GACGTCGCCTTCGCTTCCTCCTTGCGGAGTTCTGCAGCTGGACGCCGGGAAGCCGACTGTCCTCCGGGTGGACAACAAGTCGGCCATCACGGTCGCCGGGGGCATGGGGTTGACAGGCAACCTCAAGCACATGGAGCGACGATAGGCCGGGCTGCAGCACATGGTGAAGCTTGGGAAGTTTTCGTTGGAGTACATCCCGACCGCTGAGCAGCCAGCTGACTTCCTGACGAAGGCGCTGCACTATCCGGCCTTCAACCGGTGCTCCGTCGCAATCGGCCAAGTGCGCCTAGCTGATGTGGGCGACGGTGACAACGACGTGCAGCAGTAGGTGCCATGCCCTCTTGCATGGCTGGTGCGGTGACCGGCGTGCTGTGCGTTGTGTGCACGCCGACGGGCTATTCTCCGAGAAGTACTGCCGTGTGGGCTGGGGGGCCCAAGCGTGAACGTGGCAGGGGAGTGTCAACGGGAGTAGTGTTTGGCCCCGTCCTCGGGGAACCGCGGAACCGCGGGAGGACCACGGGACCGCGGGACCGCGGGAGAACCGCGGGAGAACCGCGGGAGGACCGCGGAACCGCGGAAGAATCGCGAGAGGACCACGGGACCGCGGAACCGCAAGAGAACCGCGGGAGGGCCGCGGGACCGCGGGACGGCGGGGAGAACCGCGGGGCCGCGGGAGGCCGTGGGGCAACCACGGGACCACGGGGACCACGGTGGACGACGGGGGTCCATGGGGGCCGCGGGATACCCAGTCGACCGGGACACCCGGGCGTCGTGGGTGCAGGTCGCCGGGGGTGGTTTCTGCGAGGACGACCTCGGGGGTGGTATCCCGAGGTCGACGTGGCTGGTGGGCGCCGTCACGAGTGGAGTGTCTGCGCTGGGCATGTGACGGGGAGTTGGGCGCCAACCAGCTGCACGCACCTGCGAAGCAGGTGCACCGTTGTCCCGCGGATGCAACGCTGTGCAGCCGACTTACTGCAGCGTTGGCACACCGCGGACTTACAATGTTGGCAAGCCGCGACTCTGCCCTACTGGAGCGTGGTCGACCAAGTCGTGCTGGCACGCGGTCGACCGAGCTGCGCTGGCAATCGACCAGTCGCCTTGCTAGGTCTGATGTAGTCTGTGTTGCCAATGTTGATTCAATCATTCTGAACTTTTGTTCTCATGTTTTCCTTGTGAAACTCTTTCCGTTTTTCCCCGTGAACTAGCAAGCAGTGTTAGCACTTGGAAACGACTAAGGAACGAACGAACGCTACGATCACTCTTGCCCCGTGCCTAGCCCGTAGTCTAGCTCCTGTTGTACGAGTTATCTCCGCATGAAAGCCAGACACTGCATCGGAATATGACCGAGGGGTGGGAATAGCGGCAGCGTCAACGGAGAGAAGAGCGGGAGAATTGCTGAAGTCGCTAATGGTGACACAGTGGAGGGGTGAAACAGGATAGATAGAGAGAAGCTCCTTGAATCAATCTTCAAGAAGTTCAACGTTCTGAGAGGGAGAGAGGCCAATAAAGAGAGTAGAGTGTTGGAAACTGGACATGGCACGGGCAATTGGAGCGGGTGAGGTGAGGTAGCAGGAGCAGAAGCAGAAGCAGGTGGGGGAGCAGGAGCAGAAGGAAGGGTAGCAGCGGGAAGTGGTGAGGGAGAGGGCGTGGGATCAGAAGGACGAAGAGGCAGTAGGAGAGGTGCCAAAAATGACAGCGGAGGGAGGGGTGGACGAGTCAGACAAGAGAGGCGGAGTAGGGGTAGAGTAGGGGTAGGAGGAAGAAGAGGGGAGAGGGAGCAACAGAGGGAAGCAGATCAAAGTCAGACCAATGGAGAGAGGGAGAAGGAAAGGTCGGGATTGGGGGGAAGGAGGAATGGAGATCGAGTCTAGTCAAAGATGACATACTGGCCACGAATGAGCTGCTGAGAGGAGGGAGCATAGGAAAGGTAACCAGAACAATCAGTGTTGATCCAAATGAATGCATAGAGCTGCGTCTTGGAAGCAAGCTTCCCACCCTGACGTGAACGATTGGCAACATTGATAAGGACACAAATGACACAGCCCCATACCTGAAAGGGGCGGGCAGAGGGTCGGTTGCTGGAAGGGTGTAAGGGAAGAGCGAAGAGGATGGGGGCGAAGGTTGGAAAGAAGAGTGGCATGAACAAGATTGTAGCTCCAAAGATAGTGTTGAGCAGAGACATGAGTGAGGAGACTGTGGGTGGTCTCCATGAGAGTGCGAATGTGACGCTCGGCAACACCATTCTGTTCTAGAGAATGTGGAAGGGTGGAAGTTTGGAAAATGCCATGAGAGGAGCAGTAAGAGGAGAGAGAGTGGTTAAAGAACTCGCCACCACCACCACAGTGGAGCCGCAACAGGACGGCCAAAGCGGAGTTGTGCATGCTCAGCGTAGCAAATGACAAGAGAGGGGGCGTCAGATTTGGCACGGAGGGGATAAATAGTGGCAAAGCGAGAGTGGTCATCAATAAGAAGGAGAAAGTAGCGATGATCTTGACGGGAGGCAATGGGAGAGGGACCCAAAGGTCCATATGCACAGAAGCAAGCGGTTTAGGGGAGGCAGAAAGGAGGAAGGATGAGGAGATTGTGAAAGCTTGACTTAAACATAAAAGGCGCATGGAGGGGCGGGAGAGGGGTGCATGAAGCAGCTTCGAATTGGCCATGCTGCGAAGGAGAGGGAAGTTGGGGTGGCCAAGACAATGATGGAGAACAAAGGTAGGTTGGGTGAGAGAGTGCAAATCGCAAGAGGAGATGGGATGGGCAGAAGAAGAGGAAGACGATGGGCAGATGAGGGGATGGGGACACGAAGGGTGTAGAGGCGAGTTGTAGGAGAAAGGGTAAAATAAGCGAGGTGCTAGTTGTGGTAATAAAGATAGAGTTGACCTTCAGGAAAGAATGCTCGCACATAAAAGGAATTGGAGGCAGGAGGGAACATAAAGGCTAGTAACGGCGCCAAAGGAAGAGGCGGGACAGGGTAGAGAGGAGGTGCCGGTGAAAATCATGGTCATGGTCTCCCCAGCCTCATCAATAGAGAGGGGACGACGAAACGAACGAAGGACACTGGCATCACGAAAGGCAGAGTCAGTGGCAGCACCGTTAAGGACAAAACACAAGGTGCGAGGAAGTGAAAGAGCAGCAGCAGTAGGGCTGTTAGAAGAGTGAGAAGTGGTGCTTTGAAGAGGAGAAAACAAGACGACAGAAAAAGTGTTTATAAGAGGAGAAGCACCAAGGATGCTATCCTCATATGGCATGGTCACACTAAAAGCAGAGGCCAGAGAACCAATGGCAGAGATCACAGCGGCAGCGACGCTGTAGGGACAGCGGGAACCAAGCAAAGGGGGGAGAAAGGGGGAGCTTCAAATGCAAGTAGGAGAGGTGGGGCAAGGGGAAGAAGGGGCAGCGAATGAAGCGGAGGATAAGAAAGACAAGGGTAGGAGGGCGGAAGCGTAAAGCAAGAAAGGTAAGGGCGAGAATAGGGGCTGGTTCACTAGGCACTCGAGGACCCTTGGAGGTTACCCCATGGGGACTAACTAGTGTGATTTAAAGGGCATTCATAGAGCTTTAGATCCCATTAGTGGTCAACACATGGTATCAAAGTTGAGGATTTGACGTCTTGCCGTTTGAACACCATGCCTTTCCCTCTCGTCAGTCAATCGCTTCTTCGCTACACCGTCATTGCCGAATTAATGGTTTTGGAGGTTTCGCTAACACTATTTCAAACCCACATTACTTGATACATTACCATGCTGACCTCAAGCTTTAACACATGAATACTAGACTCCGGAGCAGCGTGTCACATGACCCCGAGGACGGACCTACTATATGAGATTTGAAAAACGAGCACGACTAAAATGAATTCAGAGTGCGGGCACAAGGTGTGAGTGACGGGGGTCAGCAAAGCAGCCTTCAAGGGAGCTGATGAGAAGCCAATCTTCCTGAAAGAAGTTCTCTTGGTTCCGGAGCTAAAAAGAAACCTGATTTCCCTAAGGAAGATAGGATTTGCAGGTGTTTGCACGGAAACTGAGGGAGCCAAAACTTTCCAAGGGCAGCTTGTGATCGGGTGCTTAAGGACCTTCATGGAGATAAGGATATGCATGATGAGTTGTGGCATGATCCAGTGGTACTATGGAGTGAGGTGGAACCTAAAGGGATTCGTAGGTCCTATGCGGACTGAAGGGACTCTTGGAGCATTGTACTTCCTCTTGGTGAGCACAGATGCTGGCGGGAGAACCCGCTTCCTTGAGTTATTCTCTAAGATGGGTGTCAAAACGTTGTCTCCCCAAATGGTGGCAATAACAAACCCTCTCAAAACAAGTTATGGTACCGCTACCTATATAAGCTACCCGAGGGTCTTCAACATCCGTGGGGGGGGGCATACTTGGGAAATTACGGTACCCCACTAAAAACCTAGCACACATATGTTCTTGGGTTTGATGAAACAAAGTTAGCATAAGAACACTCGCCGTTTGAAAATATAGGAAATAGACATCATTTGACTGACATACCGTACCAACGGACAAGGCCAAATCAATTCAAGGTCATATTCATGGCACACAAATAAACCTAGAGCCTACACTCCCAACACAGGTCTTCTCATTGTACATGTAGTATTTTGAAATGGCCCCATTCTGAGCCCCACCATAGAAGCTGTATGCACCTGAGCACGCCAATGATGGCGATACTGGTTTCTGCCTACCCTTCTTGCACTTGCCGATAACAAATGACCAATACTCTGCTCGTAGACAAATCTGCAGTAGCGCCATTTACAAACACAACAAAAGGAAGGGAAATATAAGAAATAATATGGAAAGGATAAGTTAGGCACAATAAGAAAGGTATCCCTTGAAAATGACTACAGGCAAAGGGTTGACAAATCGTGCAGCATGAGCACACCAGAGACGACCATTGCACCCTCACCCACCGAACACCAGTTTTCCATCCACCTGTTCCTCCCATCTCTTGGCCCCCTTCCTTCCTAGTCCACTTTCCCTTCCTCCACTCACCTGCACGCCGGAGTTGCTGCCAACAGCAGAGGCGGTGATCGGGATGACATCAGAGCAGATGAGGCCGGGATTGTTGCGGTATAGCTCAGCCCAGCGCATGGCATTCACCTTTACAGCCCCAAAGGGGTCGCCCTCACTCGCTGCCACCTGCCGCAGCAGGCGCTCGCACGTGTCTTGTGGTGTGAGCACACCGTATCGCGAGCACTGAGGGACGGTGAAAGCGAAGGTGGCGTTGCGCTCAATGCACAGAGAGCGGCCCGCCTTGATGGGCTCAGAGCAGTCGAGGCCGGGATTGAGAGCAGTGAGGTTGCTGGCTGTGAGGCCCAGCTGCGCACTGATGGACCAGCATGTGTCACCCTGAAGGGTTGAAGAATGGAAAAAAGGTAGAGATGCCTGCTGTGAATGGACTACGGCTTCAATATGAGCGATTCAATCTAGGCTGAGAGCCTTGCTGGGCTGACGCAGGGTAGAGGAGAGTGATGTTTGAAAGAGAGGATTCATGAGAAGAACTAGAGCTTATGGTGAGGGTGTAAAAGATAGCTTTAGAGGCTCAAACGACATGAGTGGCGGCCCTTAAGGGGAAAGAAGGACGGCTGTGCTTTGTGCAATGCTGAAATAGGCTGGGTTGCTAGAGTATTATTGCGTCACCAAGTAGAGAGGAGTAAGAAGATTTGGGAAGAGAATATATAGAAGGAGAAACAACGAGGTCTAAAACCCACAGTGATGGTGTAGAAGAATGCTGTGCAGGGAACGCGGAGAGAAATCCCCAGCTGAAGCACCGTGTTACGTGGCAAAGGATGACTGCAGTCAATGGCCTGTGTTGAGGAGCACAGACACGCTTTAATGTGAAGTATTGGCAAGATTGAATTTTGTGGGGCTACTGCGTCCATTGAAATCAGCCAATAACTATAATAGGGACTCCTGGGCATTGCGAGTCATTCTTTCTCTGCCAACATCTCCACTCTTCCAGGCTCTCCACCTTTACTGCTTACCGCATTATTTTCAATGAATTGTGCAAGGGAGAGTCCCACAAGAGGGAGGACATCGGAGCTCCACCAACTGCTGCCACTCACGGTCAGGGTGCTGGCCGTGGTGTTGGCTGAAGAGGGATGAGATCCAAACAAGGGGAACAGACAAAAAAAAGGGCAAAATTGAAAATTCTACTTACTAGTTTTGTGGGTAGTGCTGACTTTTTTGCCACTCGTCAACTACAATTGATTCAGTCCCACGTTTTGGTTGGTTCGGTGCTTATTTATTCAGTGCCGCATGAAACCAAACTGATTTGACGATGACTTTGGTTTGATTGAATTCGGGCGTATTCCACTCAGAAACTCACGCGACATGGGTCATGCGGGTGATGATCCAGGTGAAAAAAAAAAAAAAAGATGGAGCCCATTTTACATGAAATTTGTCTATGTTCCAACTTGTGTGATTCACACAATCGTTTCATGTTTGCCATGCTTACTATGTTAGGCGTTTTCCACACCCCGAGAGGGGAGAACATATAACAAGAAGATCAAGTAGTAAACATGTGACTGAAGCGAACGCTGATGGCAAATCGAACTGTTTTGGTTTAACTCAATTTGCCCTGATTAAGACCAAACTGCTTTGGTTTGAAACCAAGAAAATCAAGCTTCAAACAGGTTTGATATGAACCGGACGGGTTCGACATCAAACCGGCTATATTTCGACAGGTGCGGTTTAATAATTTGCTCTTGGCTACTAGATAGCAGAAGTAGTTTGAGATGGTCATGAATTGTGATGACCGAATATTTGGTGCGATAACAGCAATAAATCGTCACCCTCTTGCAAACAAGGCCGAAGCAGCAGCACCTGGATCGCAGGTGGGGAAGCTGTAAATGGTTGTGCTTTCAACGTAGTTGGGAGGGCAGATGCAGGAGTAGGAGCCCTTGCCGTCGTTGATGCATGTGCCCACATAGCAGGACTCCTGCATGAAGGAACAAGGAGTACGAGTGCAACAGAGGCAGAGAAGGAAGGAAGCAGGAAGGTCGGAAAAAAATTTGTGTCGACCACCTAATAATCGCACCACTAAGGATAGTACGTTATGCAAAAGCAAGCTCCAGAGCCCAATTAGGCCCATGGCGGTTTGTAATGTGTCCCACTGGATCTTGTTTTGTCTCGGTTTGCCAGCCTGAGCCTGGCCCAGACTGGCCCGGCCTGCTGCCTTGGTCTCCTTGTGATGAAGCAAGGCAACCTGACACGAGGCACAGCCCATCGTAGTAGGCAAGCTCAATTCGAAAGTCGAGCGATTTGGCTAACCCACACAAAATGGCGGGTCAGGTCGGGGTGCAACCGTGGGCTTACGAGTGGTGTTGCATGTGCTCATGCGTGCATGCATGCTGAAAGCAAAGAGGAGAGAAGAGAAGAGCAGCAACGGGCTTACAGGGTATCTAGGTTCGCAATGTCACCAATTCCCTCAGGAATCGAGCCAGTGAGATGATTTTTATATAGATTCCTGAACGGAGCAACAAGGAGTGTGATACCAAGAGAGGCAGCAAGAAGCAACAGGCGGGGGAGGGGGGCAGGGAGGGGGGCGAGGGTGGAAGAGTCATTGTGAAGTGTTGCGAACAGCACAAACTCTATCTAGCGCATCGGATTTAGGGCACTGAAACTGGCTGTGCATGGGAAAGAAAGATGAGTACGTGTAAGTGGGGATCTGGGGGGTCGAAGGGTAGGAGGTTAGAATTGGGATGTTGGGATAGGTGCCCCGTGAAATGAGGGTACCAGGGGTGAGGTGAGGGGCATGAAGAGAAGAGCAGAGTGACTATGAGGAGTGTGGTGTGTGTGTGGGGTGGGGTGTATGAGATGAGAGTATTGAGTGGAGTGGAGGAGGGTATGTAATGGGTATAGAGCATGAGTAGACGTGGATGGAATGTATGAAAAGATAGTGAGACTAGCATGCAAGCACACGTGTGATTGAGGTTAGTTTCTTCTTCAGTAAAAAATAGAAGGCACTCAAATCATATCCCAGGCACCGCAACCATAGTCAAAACTAAGGAAACCGAATGTAGAAGTATCAAGGAGAAAAAAACGTTTTAGTGCATCCTGACCGAATACGAGCTCGCCTCCTGCACTCACCCACCCACCTCCCTAATCCAACCATGCAAGACTATTCATTATGTATTCCTGGAGAACCGTGTACAATGTCGGCGTAGAGTAGTTTCTGAGTGTTGGTAGCCTGGAAGGCACTGAAATAATCTCTTATTTGCTTTATACGGTTAAAACAAATTCAGAGACCCGACTCGTGCGGGTTGCCACAACAAACCAGAACCGGTGCAACACAAACTGAAGAAGTCGTGGAACAGATTCAGCAAAATATATTCTGTTTGGCTCACTTGAAAATGGCGATACTGTCTATTTGTCATGGCCGTGGGCCGACACGAGCGCCAAGCCGGCTGAACCCATGCTGGCTCAAGCCCTGTCCACCAACAGGGCCAACCCTAATTCCGACCTTGGTCGGACCTGGGTCCGGCCCTTGCTCATCCCTACTTAGCTTCTGGCCTTCCTTACAAGAGCGCGAGTCGAACGAGAGCGCTGACACTAGCAATGGTACTTCCTGAAAGCTTGTCCCTTGTAAGAGCCCAGAGGCTAAGAAGGCAATCACCTAAGGCAAGAGGATACTCAATCGCTATGACCTTTGCTTACAAGGAACTATGTGGGCATATACGCTCTGGACGGCGAGCGTCCAGCGTATATACGCTGGCATCCGAACGCTGGACGCTCGCCTTGAAAATTTTCGGGCAGCCCAACGAAAAAAGATCGCGCGACAATTTTGAGATTTGCGATTTCAGCACGAACGTAATTTCGAAGCGAATTTCGAAGCGTAATTTCGCGAAAACAGAACCAGGTCCAACAATTTGCCCACGCAATTTCTCTTTCTGCCGCATTTCACCCCTCGTGATCTAGCAAAGCCAACCCATCGTAAGTAGATCGACCAACTCTGGCAGGCACATCTTCCAGCAGGGGTTAGTCGACAATTAGGTTTCACTCTCACCCACGACCAGATTATTCCTAACAGATAGCCCACCTAGGCTATGATGAAATTTGCCTCTACGACATTCGTTCAAAGAACTCCTTCAGTCAAGTGTAACATACACGTTTACCATCGCGATTCCATGGCAAAATCCTTATGGCGCTCCCCCGCTTTTTCCCTCCTGCCCGAAAAAAGGTTTTTTTTCCTGCCCGACTAAAGCGTCCAGGACTGGACATCAGAGCGTCCAGTGTATAAACACTAGCGTCTAGACGCTAGCGTATGGGACGCTGGACGCGTCCATGTCCACATAGACAAGGAAGAGAAGGAGCTGACAGCAAGTGGGACTAGATAGAGAGTGCTGATCCACACGCACAACGAACGGGTCGAATCCACCCGTCTACGGTCGACCCGAGCTACGTCATTGTCCTACAGATGAGGACGAGGTCGTCCCTTTGGATAGTAGGCGGCATTGTTGCGTGCTCAGAAATATGCGGGCGCTTAGGCGAAGGGACGGGAGGGAGTACTGAAGAAAAGGTGCGTGCGTGATCGGAAGAAAACACATTAGATCTGAAAAGCGGTTGGCGAAAATGGCGGGAGGAAAATTCCAACCCAACCAAACCGCAACGTTATCCGTTAGGGTAACGAGACGATTTTTTGGGCACCCGTCGAGCTTAAAACTCGGCGAGTTCCATAAATGCTCGCCTAAAAGAGCGCGAGTACTCGTCGAGCAAAAAAAACTCGGCGAGTAAAACTCGGCTCGACTCGGCCGAGTAAAATTTACAGAAACCGAAACTCGTTACTCGCACCCCTAGGAGTAACTCGGGCGATACCGAGCGAGTAACTCGTCTCGTTGCATAGGTATACCAAAAGACAGCTTCCTCCTCACCCTTGTCCCCCATTCCAGTTTGTAGAATGAGCCCCGTCTTTTTAGTTGTGTCTAAGTCGTACCAACAGGCAAATCAAATTGCTGACTGAACTGATAGAGTCAGTTTGAGTCGACCGGAACAGGTTCGACCAAAACCGGATGACGAAGTACAAAACCAGGTTTTGTACTGGGCTCATGCCTACTTGAATCGTACCTAATGACTTGCATAGATTTTTGTATACAAAAAAAACCAGTTGAGCATGCTTATCGGCATTTATTGCGCTGGCTGACATACGGCTGAATATATCTTCAGCAGACAAGCGAGTCCACCCGGCTTCGCTAGCTGCCCGCGGGCAAAAAAAAAAAAACCCATTCGGGCATGCATCCGGTCGAGGCATCAACCCCAAACACAGGAAGGCATTGGTTTAGGGTTGATGCCTCCCTTGTCGAAATCAACAGACAGGAATGATTGAACTAGCAGTGAAATCAGTACAAGTACCTAACCCTAGAATTGTGTACCCCCTATAGGCTAACCCACTATAGCCTAAACAAACACAACATATATAATGTTTGACACACCCCCATAGGCAAAGTGGGGGAGAGCAAGGGGTCACAAGACCAGTCAAAGCAAAGCAAAACAAGCTCAGGGTGGATCTCAAGGATACCACACAAATTCCGAGCACACCAAGTGGTCACAAGACCAGTTCACATGCAGGTTGATAATATAGCAAGAGATACAGTGATCACAACCTAGCAAGTGTAAACATGCAGGCATATATATAAAGATCACAGTACAAGCAGAGTCAAGAAGTAAGTAAGTGAGGTCCAGCAGGCACAAGGCCTAGAAGAGTACAGAAACGCTGATGGTCACAAGGCTGAAGCGCCTTGGTGAACACATCAGCAAGGTTGGCCTCAGTGGCCACGTAACGCAGACGAAGCTGACCACGCTGCTGCAGCTCTCGAGCAAGGAAGTACCGCAGGGCGATGTGCTTCGTTCTGTGCTCCAGTCTGTGCTCCTCACACAAGGCAATGGCAGCCTGGTTGTCGACGTACAGCACTGGAGGAGAACGAGGCCGCTCTCCCAAGTCGGTCAGCAGGTAGGTCAGCCAGCGTAGCTCCTGGGCAGCCATGGCTGTGGCGTAGATCTCAGCCTCACAACTGGAGCTGAGAACAGAAGAAGAGCGTGTAGAACGCCAAGAAACTGAGCCGGAGCCAAGGCTGAAGGTGTAACCCTGAGACGACCGCTGAGTAGCCTGGTCGTCCGCCAGGAGGGCGGCGCAGCCAGATCTCCTCGTGCAGGCTGCCCTGCAAGAAAGCAGTGCTGAAGTCAAGTGAGTGAAGCTCGTAGTCGCGCTGAGCGGCTATGTGCAGCAGCACCCGAAGAGTGGTCATCTTCGGGGTGGGGGAGAAGGTCTGAAAGAAGTCAACTCCCTCTCGCTGACTGAAGCCTCGAGCCACGTAGCGCGCCTTGAAGACAGGAGGAGAACCCGGTGGCCGCTTCACCCTGAAAATCCACATGCCACTGACGATGTTCGCCCCAGGTGGGGGAACCTCGTCGACGTAGGTGCCTGTGGACTTCCAAGAAGCCATCTCTGCGTCCATGGCTGTCTGCCACTGAGAGGAGTAGGGACCCGCCATCGCCTCAGCGTAAGTGCGCGGGGTCGGGATGTCTGGTGCATCCGGGTCTCCCTCAGGGGCAACTAGCATGGACACGAGGTGGGGTAAAGCAGCAGCAAAGCACTGGAACTCCTCCTGTCTGTCCTCAAGGACGTCCGTGCCAAGAGCACACTCACCCCCGACGGACGGAGGACAGACAGACTCAGACTCAGACTCAGCAACAAGGCTAGTGGCGTAGTCTAGACGACACCGGGCAGCAAAGTCTATCAACTCAGCGACCAGAGCAGACGCAGCAGAGGACTCAAAGGTAGGGTCAGTGACAACAGTAGCGAGGAGACGGGTGACAGTGGGACTGGCAGCACGACGGGAGTCAGACTCCGGATAACGAAGAGTAGGCAGAGAGGACGCAGGAGGAGACGGCAGCGGAACACGCTGAGGAGCAGTGGAGGGACGCAGAGTCATGTAGTGAGTGCCAGGGACAGGAGGAGGATGCTCACGTGGGACACGACGACCAGTGCGAGCAGTACGAACAGGCGACGCAGGACGAGACTCAGGCTCACGACGCTCTGTAAGACCTCCTGTGGGACCAGTGTAAGGAGAGGGACCAGGGAGAGGCGAGGCAGGCGGGAACTGTGACTGCGACTGGACAGGCGGAGGACACTCTACGGAGGGAGGAGGACAAGGAGGAGGAGCCTGACCAAGAACCTGCTGAAGAAGTGGTACGAAGTACGGTCGCGGCCGCGTAGCGTCTCCAGAACCAGCAGAGACACCAGCGGCAGGGTCCTCAGCACCAGCAGCAGCTCCAACGTCCGGGTCCTCAGCACCAGCAGCAGCTCCACCGCTCGGGTCCTCAGCACCAGCAGCAGCTCCACCGTCCGGGTCCTCAGCTCCAGCAGTAGCTCCAACGCCCGGGTCCTCAGCACCAGCAGCAGCGCCACCGCTCGGGTCCGCAGCACCAGCAGCAGCTCCAACACCCGGGTCCTCAGCACCAGTAGCAGCGCCACCCTCAGGGTCCGCAGCACCAGGAGCACCACTCCGAAGACTACAGCGCCGCGTGTACCACTCTCGGATCTGCTGAATGGGGGGGAGCTCCTGGGCAGGAGGGGAAGTACTGGTACGAGCTCCAGTAGCACCTCTCCGGAGGCGGCAGTACTGCAGGTACCTCTCCTGCAGCTGCTGGGAGGAGAGGGCTCCTCCAGGTGTAGCACGCTCAGGCTCAGCACCCCCAGACTCAGCACCCCCAGACTCAGCACCCCCAGGCTCAGCACCCCCAGACTCCGCACCTCCAGGCTCAGCACCCCCAGGCTCCGCACCCCCAGGCTCCGCACCCCCAGGCTCAGCACCCCCAGGCTCCGCACCCCCAGGCTCCGCACCCCCAGGCTCCGCACCCCCAGGCTCAGTACCCTCAGACTCCTCACGGTCAGGCTCAGCACCCCCAGCAGGACGAGAGTCAACAGCTACCTCGACAGGCTCAACCGGGTCTACCTGGGACACACCTGAGGGAGCGGCACCCTGAGGGGGGAGGGGGTCTGGTACCTCAGCACCTGGAGCGAGGAAGAGAGGCGGGGGGGGGAGCGGGGCAGTGCGGTAGGGAAAGAGGCGGTAGTAGGGGACGGACTCGTCAAAAGTGACGTCCTGAGAGGCCAGGACACGACGCGAGGTGGCGTGGTAGAACTGCCAACCAGGCGCGTCCGGGACAAAGCCAAGGAAGACACAGGGGACAGCTCGACGGGAGAGCTTGTCCGCGGACGTATCGCGAACAAAAGCTCGAGATCCCCAGACCCGAAAACGCGACGCATCGCCAGCCTCTCCCGTCCAACGCAGTGTCGGAGAAGTCTCCGGTAAGGAGACACGGGGCCAGATGTTGAGCTGATGCGCAGCGTATCGGACTGCAAACGGCCACAGAAAGTGGGGGGCAGCCGCATGAACCAAGGAGGTACGAGCGACCTCCATGACCAAGCCAATGCGGCGCTCAGCAACCCCATTCTGCTGTGGAGAGGCCGGAAGCGTGAACGACTGCTCAATGCCCTCCTGCTGACAGAAGGCCTCCAAGAGGCCAGAGGAAAACTCCCCACCTCTGTCAGAGTGCAGACGCAGGACAGGGAAGTCGGAGCGGAAACGCTCACTGAGCTGGAGACGAGATCTGCGGATCCAAGGGATCAAGACATCAGGGACGTCACCCTTGGTGCGCAAGGGGAAGACCGTGGTGTAGCGCGAGAAGTCGTCAACAACAATCAGGAAGTACCTCTCCTGACCCTGACCACGGACTCGGGCTGGGCCCCACACGTCCATGTGGAGCGTCTGCAAAGGAGCAGTCGTCGGGGGGAAGGAGGAGGAGTGAGGAGCGGCGCGCTGCCGCCCCTCGACACAGGGAATACAGGGAGGAGCAGGCGAGGGTGGGAGGGGAGGGAGAACCCTGGGAAGACCAGCAACAAGGTCCCGTTTGTGCATGGCCCGAAGGCGCTGCACAGACGAGTGACCAAGGCGGTGGTGCCAGAGGACAGTCTCATGCGCCAGAGAGCGACACGAGCAGGGGGCGGACAGCTGACCTGACGCAGACGCAGACGCGGACGCAGCTACCTGAGGGGACTCAGTGGTCAGTGTGTACAGGTCCGACCCCGGCTGCCGAGTGAAGGTAGCCAGGTGACGGCCCATCCGAGCACACGTGCAGTGGGTCACGCGCTCGTAAGCAGGGGTGAACTGGTGAACACCCCCGTCCTGGAGCGCACTACCTGCCACCAAGTTCGTAGAGAACGAGGGGAGGTAGAGACCTGACAGTGTGCCTGACGGGACCGCAGGACAAGGAAGGACAGTGGAGGAGGTCGCAACGACCGGACCCCCAGAGGGGTCAGCGAGGGAGACAGCAACTGGCCGAGCAAGCGGCTCAAGGACAGTGCGGTCACGAAAGAAACAGCGAGAAGCACCTGAGTCCAGTGTGAAGGTGTGCAGTGCTGCAGTCGACTCAGTACCAGAGGGCACGGACTCACTAGCACCTAGAGCAGCAGCCTCACCAGGACCTGGGGCAGCAGACTCACTAGCACCTAGAGCGGCAGCCGGACTGGTCTGAATGCCCGGGTCGGGCGGAACACGCAAGTACTGAGCACCCTCTCCACTAGTAAACATCGCATACATGGCAGTGAGAATAGCATCAAAGTCTAAAGCCCAGATATCAACTCCCTTCTTCTCCAGATCAGCCCAGCGGGGCAGGTCAGTGGCATCAGGAAACTGGGCACGCCACGCGTCAGTAAGGCGCGCGAAACAGCGCTGTGTGGGATGCGGCCTCCCACACTGCTGGCCAGTGCGGTCACCAGTGCGAATGACGTACGTGCAGGTAAAGCCACGCTGCGCATACCACTCACGGGCGGCCTGAAGCGACGGGGCGGGCTGCTGACTCTGGCCACCGCCAGCGCCTCCACGACCACCACTGCCGCCGCCACCGCCTCGGCCACCTCCACCCCTGCCGCTGCCACGACCACCTCCGCCTCCGCTGCCGCCTCCACCCCTGCCGCCACTCCCGCCGCTACTGTCAGCACCCCACTGCCGCCACTAGCCTCCCCAGCCGCTCCTCCACTCCCACCGCCTCCACCCCCACCTCCTCCGCCGCCACCTCCACCCTTGCCCCCTTTGCTCTTGCGGCGCCCGCTCGAAGCAGACGCGGCCCCGACCTTCCCAGCACCAAGGAGGTCGACAGCAGCAGCAGAGGCGACAGAGGGGAGGAGAGGGGAAGGGGAACACCCCTCAAAGAACGGGGTGCGGGGGTCGCCACGAGAGGTGCCTACAGCGACGATGCTCGCCTCAGCTGCAAGCAGTTCCTTCTCAAGGAGGGCAATGGTGAGTTCAGTGGGGGAGCGAGAGAGGAAGTGGTCCCTGACTGTGCGCAGGGAGTCGGGGAGGCGGGTGACTATGTGGTAGAGAGTGATCCAGAGCGGGGGGGGGTTGCTGGTGAGGAACTCGTCAGGCATAGCAGCGCGAAAGCGGGCCTCACTGGTCTTAAGGTGGGTGATGAGGTCAGCAACTGTCTGAAAGGAGGCCAGGTCGGGGAACAGGTAGGGGAGAGTGAGGCGGCCTAGTGTGGCAGAAGCGGGGGAGGAGTAGCGAGCGACTACAGCAGTGTACAGGTCCTTAGCAGTTTTGTGCTGGCCAAAGTGCTCGCGCTCGTCGATCGGTAGGGAGTTACGAATAGCGAAGCGAGCGTGGGCGTCACGAGTCTGTTACTGTGAGCGCTGAGTGCTGTCAGCAGTGGTAGGAGGGGCAGTAGCGTTGCCTAGGGCGTGATCGTACAGTGAAACGTCCTCCTTAGCAGTGAGCTGTAGAAAGAGGTGGAGGTCATCGAGCCAGGTTTCGAACTTCACTGGACGGCCCTCAGCATCGAAAGTAAGTACAGTAGGAGTAGCCATAGCGGCAGTGTCAGCACACGGGCGGCAGCAGCTGATGCGCACGGGCGGGAGCGGCAGTGGGCGCAGAAGCGGCGGCCGCAGTGGGAGCGAGTGCAGCAGCGGCAGCGGTAGCAGGCGCAACAGGAGCGCACGGGCGGTAGCGGCCGCGGCGCACGAGCGGGAGCGGCTGCGGGCGACGCGCAGGCGGTAGCTGCAGCGGCGAGCCCGTGGTAGCGGCAGCTGCAGCGGGCGACAAGCAGGCGGCAGCTGCAGCGGGCGACGAGCGGGCGGCAGCAGCAGCGGGCGACGAGCGGGCGGCAGCTGCAGCGTGCGACGAGCGGGCGGCAGCAGCAGCGGGCGACGAGCGGGCGGCAGCTGCAGCGGGCGACGAGCGGGCAGGCGCTGCAGCGGGCGACGAGCGGGCGGCAGCAGCAGCGAGCGACGAGCGGGCGGCAGCTGCAGCGAGCGACGAGCGGGCGGCAGCAGCAGCGGGCGACGAGCGAGCGGCAGCTGCAGCGGGCGACGAGCGGGCGGCAGCAGCAGCGGGCGACGAGCGAGCGGCAGCTGCAGCGGGCGACGAGCGGGCATGCGCTGCAGCGAGCGACGAGCGGGCGGCAGCAGCAGCGAGCGACGAGCGGGCGGCAGCTGCAGCGGGCGACGAGCGGGCGGCAGCTGCAGCGGGCGACGAGCGGGCGGGCGCTGCAGCGGGCGGGCGGCAATGTGCAGGCCGGCGGGGCCGCTGCGGGCTGCGCTATAGCGGTGCGAGCGGCGCACGGGCGGCTAGCCGGTCGCGCTCAAAAGAAATCGGCCGCGCGCGGGCAGCTAGCGGGTCGCGCGCGGTTAAAAAAAAAAAAAAAAATGAGCCGCGCGCGATTGGCTGGCGGGCTGCGCGCGCGCGGTAGGTAGGAGGCGCACTGGGGCGCGTAGGCGCACGAGGGCGCACGGTAGGTAGGTAGGTAGGTAGGTAGGTAGGTAGGTAGCGGTGGGCCCTAAGAACGGTCCTAGCGAAGGACCTGCTCTGAAACCATGTCGAAATCAACAGACAGGAATGATTGAACTAGCAGTGAAATCAGTACAAGTACCTAACCCTAGAATTGTGTACCCCCTATAGGCTAACCCACTGTAGCCTAAACAAACACAACATATATAATGTTTGACATCCCTTGGATGGCATGCCATTTGAATGGGTTTTAGTTTTTTCTGCCCGGGGGCAGCAGGTCGTCAGGTCGTCAATGGGTCGACGGAGCTGTCGACCCATTTCCGCTGAGACATTCATGGTAGTACAGAACTTTCTGCCAGCTTGTGTGCAACTTACAAGCAATATATTTTAGCGAGAGCGCTGACATCGACAAGAATGCTTCCTCAAAGCTTGTCCAAAAGGACAAAAATGCATAGAGTATAATCTACCAATCACTCTGAGGTCTCCACTCTGAGTTCAAGCACTGTGAAATCAAACTGTTGAATTTGTAGTTGGTTTGAGTCGAGCCGGAACCGATTCGTTTAGAAGTGGATGGCCCAAGTTTTGTACTGTGCAAAAGCCTACTTGTATTGTACCTACTGACCTGGCATATATTTGTAGAGTATGAAACACCAGTCAGATTGGCTCATATGGTAAGCATGTGTGTCAAACTATATTGCAAACAATGGTACTGGCTGACACACATGGTAGTACTTACCTTCTTGCCAACTTGTGTGCCACTTACAAGACAGTGACTTGAGTGAGAGCACTGATACTAGCAGGAATGCTTCCTGAGAGCTGGTTCTTTGAAACATCCCTGAGAGTAGGGCAGAAAGAAGATGCATAGACGATAATTGCTCAAGCACTACGAGCTTCGTTATCAAGGAAGGTAAGGAAGGAGCTGACATCACGCTAGACCGGAGAGTAAAAGACATCACCACACCTACTCCATCTAGTATTATGACACAACTCTGGTCAAACCCTTCTCCCGTCACCTAACTACCATGGCTCCTACCCAAACACTCTATTACTATTACGGCCTGCTACTTGCGCATCGGGTTGACCCTGCCCGACCTGAGCTGGGTTTGGTTTAGCCCGAAGCGGGTCGGGCCAGGTCGGCCCGTAGTCGGATCAGGACCCTGACGCTTCCTCCAGCCCGGCCTGGTCTTGTTGGGGTTGGTTCATATGTGATCCGAAACTGGGTCAGGTCGACCCAACCCTAAGTCCGGCCAAATGAACCGACAGAAAATAGGTGGTTCTGGGCATTTAAAAAAATAATAATAATAATAGAAAAAAAACGATACAACCCATGTAAACATGACGTTGGAAGGCATGGATTTCTGATTAGCCATGACAACTAGGGATGAGCAAATGGCAAACAAGAACATGTTCGTGTTCGCCTGGGCTCGAACATGGCCGTTCGGCGAACCGAACACTGTTCGGTTCGCCGAACAAGGGTGTTCGTGCATGGGCGAACGCGGACACGTTCGTCTTTGCCCCTTGCTCATCCCTAGCACCAACTGACAAGTCCTCCCCCAAGGGTGAAGCAGTAGCCTTGGGAGGAGCGTCGGTCGGTCTGGTCATCTGCCCAGAAGGAGTCTGTGTAACCTTCCAGTCGAGGAGGAGAAAGCCCACCAAGGGTGAAGACATGAGACTTGGTGCTCTGAAGATAACCATGTACCCACTTCGCCGCCTTCTAGTGATGATAAGTGAAGCGTCTAGGGCCCGCGTATCGAGAGAGGACACTGACAGAATATGCCAAGTCCGGTCGGGTGCACATCATGGCGTACATGAGGGACCCAACAAGCTCTGGGTATGGCTCATAGCAAGCCTCAATCTCACTTTTTGTACCTGCACTTCTAATATCCCAACTTAGTATAGTATGCACTTTGTGTTTGATTGGGTGTACACCTACCTCATTTTCTCACACAAACGACCTGAGGTCGGCTAAGAAAAACTTTGTGAGGATTAAAGAACCGGATCAATTTTTTTTTTTTTGAACACGTGGGTACAACACGAGGCTATGTATAGGCTCGACACAAGGCCAGTAACCTGGGTATTACTACAAGGTTCCGCGGGTCGCGAGGTGTCTCGAACGGGTCCCTTTCAAATTCGGTAGTAGCAATTCGGTGGCAACTGAAAAGACTAAAATTTGGTGCTCGCAACCTAGAACGTTGCTATAACTATAACAAATTATAGTAAATAATGATTTTAAGGAATAAGAGCAAAGGTATGCGTAATAAAATAGAACTAAACAAGGTAACACATAATAAGGTAAATCCAAGTAGGCAGAGCTGTCGTATTCTTACAAACCCGGCCTTATATCCCCGGGTCGGTTCAAGGTCTTCAAAGCCATGGCCCGGGCTAACCCGACCCGAAAACCCGCCTGACCCGACCCAGTCAGGTCAGGTCGGATCGGGCCGGTTGTTCATGGTCAGGTGAGTCCCTATACCTATATGGTGTTTGGTCTAGGAACAAACTGCAAAATGAACCTAAACTGAACATGAAATGAAACTATTGTTAATACTTGTCGTAAAGTAATATAATGCTAAATACTGAGCGGAGACTAACCTACTCCACCAAGCGTAGCATTCTCGTTGAGGGGGGGGCAGAGGTAGCTGAGTCGAGTATTTTCCAACCACTACACAATAAAAAGAAGACTTGACTCGAAAGTTTTGTGGGTCAACTTGCCCGAAACAACTTGGGCAAGCTTAACTCGACTCGCCTTGTTTTGCATTCAAGGCTTTGCATAACAAGTACAGTAATTGACTCCTGTTTGCTCATGTCTAGCTCTGTAACAACATCGGGGGAGGGAGACTCGGGAGCTTACATGAGATGTGCGAAGGATGAGTAGAACATATTTTCTTACATGTAATGCAAATTGGCGAGTACACCAATGTCAGCCGGGATGGAGCCGTTGAGCTGGTTGGTGGCAATCGACCTATAACAATTAGGGTGTCCACGAGCGCGAGTCTGTGGTTGAAGAACAAGGGCATGAAACTAGGCAAACTAGGAAGAGGGGAGTTGCATAATAATCACTTAGTTTGGGGAGTTCCTTCTTTGAGTAACAAAGAGAGCGAGTATTACTCGAACGAGAAACTTCTCGACGCCCACAGCGGTATACGTCACAACACTAAACCCATATTTTTCTTCGTCACAAGTTATTTGTTTTCGTTAGTAGTACTCGGACTAGAAACTTCTCGACTCCCACAGCATTGGTATAAGTCACAAACACTTAACCCTTATTAATCTTCATCACGACTAATTTGTTTCGTCAAGGACGAGCATCCATGGCTAGTACTTGGGGATAGGGTTGAGCACGAACCAAACACAAACATGTTTGGGCAAACTTTTTTCGAGCATTTTTTTTTCTCCATCATAAGGGGGTGCCAGTCGAGGACGGGGAGGATGCGGGGGGTGAGGAGGACGAGGAACAGGTTAGGTCGAACATTCTTAAAGGTTTTTAAGGTTTGAGGTTTGCTTAAACTATGGTGAACCGTAAAAGTTCGCCCGAACCTTAAAGGTATGTGCGTACTCAAACTAAGTGGGGGATGGGAGGGAAGGGAAGGCAACAGGCATAGTAGTAAGGTTTGCAAAGACTTAAGCATGTGAAACATTGCGAAAGGGTAGGGATGAGCAAAAAATAGAACACCTGTTCGGTTCGCCTCGAACGTGTTCGAGGCGAACCGAACAGGTTTTTTTTTTTTGCTTAAAGTGTTCGCCGAACAGTGTTCGAGGTTCGCCCGAACACGTTCGTGTTCGGGCCGCTGCTGCAATTTGCCCCTAGACGAACACGAACGTGTTCGAGGTTCGCCCGAACACGACGACATAGGCGAACGGCGAACACCTGTTTTTTTCTTAAGGTGTTCGCCGAACCGAACTGTGTTGGTGAAACAAAGTTCTTAAACGCTGGTGAAAAAAAGAAAGAAACAAACAAACAATAACGCTAGCGAAAGGGAGACCACGAGAGCCAGCAAATAAGAGTGAGGTAATGTGTGGGTCATACAAGTATGAGAGCTGTGTGTGAGCTGGTGTGAGGGTGCTTGGTATGCTCCCATACAGCTGGTTGAAGGCAAGAAAACCTGGTGGCCATGTGGTGAGGCGGAGCGAGGAGGATGTTAATGGAGTGACGGGGAAAAGAACGAACGGGAGTGTTGTTGGGTACTTTTTGTCCTTCAAGTTTGCTTTGGGTTTCGTTCACAAGATTATGTATGAGTTATATGTATCTGTTTACATTATAGTAGTGTAGACATTTGTCGATGTTCGCCAACATCCCCGAACAGTTTTGCCTGTTTGTTTTGTCGCGCCTAGCCGGGCCACGCGGACACGAACATGTTCGTGCTCGTCTGGCCGTGCCGACGAACACAAATGTGTTGGTCGGAAAGATCCCGCGACACATTTTAGGTCGACATTGGGACACAATCTGAGCTCATTCTTGAGCTCGATTTCAACTGACACTCCCCGCAAAAGCATAGTCTAGACGCACCAGCAGCAAAACAGCCTTCAACACCTATATCAATAGTCATGTGTCAGTAATAAAGACTGGAATAATGAACTAGCAAGGATTGTGAGTACAAATATGAAACCCTAATGTTGTGACCCCCCTATAGGCTAACCCACTACAGCCTACACAAATACAACAAATATAATGTCTGACACACCCCCATAGGCAAAGTGGGGGAGACCTAAGGGTCACAAGACCAGTCAAGGCAAAGCAAGACAAAACAAGCTCAGGGTGGATCTCAAGGATTCCACACAAATTCCGAGCACAAGCTAGTGGTCACAAGACCAGTTCACATGCAGGTTTATAAAAGAGCAAGAGATACAGTGATCACAACCTAGCAAGAGTAAACATGCAGATATAGATATATATAGTGATCACAGTACAAACAAAGTCAAGAGGTAAGTAAGTGAGGTCCAGTAGGCACAAGGCCTAGGAGAGTGCAGAAGCGCTGATGGTCACGAGGCTGAAGCGCCTTGGTGAACACATCAGCAGTGTTGGCCTCAGTGGCCACGTAGCGAATACAAAGCTGACCGCGCTGCTGCAGCTCACGAGCAAGGAAGTACCGCAGGGCGATGTGCTTCGTTCTGTGCTCCAGTCTGTGCTCCTCACACAAGGCAATGGCAGCCTTGTTGTCGACGTACAGTACTGGAGGAGAACGAGGCCGCTCTCCGAGGTCGGTCAGCAGGTAGGTGAGCCAGCGTAGCTCCTGGGCAGCCATGGCTGTAGCGTAGATCTCAGCCTCGCAACTGGAGCCGAAAAGAAGAAGAGCGAGTAGAGCGCTAAAGAGAAACTGAGCCAGAGCCAAGGTGAAGTGTAACCCTGAGACGACCGCTGAGTGGCCTGGTCGTCTGCCCAAGAAGCGTCTGAGTGCCCTGTGAGAACAACTCGGTCTCGCCCTCCAAGCACAAGCCCCATGCCCGACGTACTGCACAAGTAGCGCAACACCCTCTTAGCGGCATCCATGTGCTCCTTCCTGTGACGGCCAGGAGCGACATAGCGTGCAAGGATGCTAAGAGGGTATGCAAGGTCAGGTCGAGTGCAGGTCATCAGGTACATGAGGCAGCCCACAAGCTCTGGATACAGGCCACTCGGCTCTACGGACTCATCCGAAGGCAGAGCTGAGAGCGAGTGACCGGTAGGCAGAGGAGTGGACTGAGGCGAGGAGTACGTGAAGCGGAAGCGCTGGAGAACCTGCTGCACCATGTGAGACTGAGTCAGGTGATTGGTAATGGTGCGCTGTGCTCTGTCCCGGGTGATCCGCAAGCCAAGATAGCTTGTCAGCTCACCCAGGTCTGTGCACGTGTGTCTCCTCTGCAGCTCCGACTTCACGTAGGCGAGTCCTGCAGTGTCAGCAGTGGCAAAGACCAAGTCGTCGACGTACACGAGGATGTAGAACGGCGGAG